CTACAAATGCTTTGTAATGGAGCCTGAAAAGATTCCACGCAATGAGAATCATTTCCACCGCATCACAATCAGCTGCTGGGTTCATAGAGAGCATGCGAGCTGAGACTTTGTGTGATTTTTGATACTGGCTCCATCAGAAAACAATGTCCTGCAGTGGTCAGTCGGTTTGTATGTTTGTAGTACTTTATGTCTGCTCACACATTTTCTTCAGTTTCTCTGGCACTGTCTCCTGAAGAGCTGTATTTGCTCTGCCAGTCTGCGGTCAGAGTCGAGCCAGTGCTGTCTTGGCTCCTTCACGTGTCGCTGTAGGCCTAATCTCATTCACACAAACTTTGCCAGGGCTGACTGGAAGTACATTGAGACACGCCAGAGCCAAGAGCTCAGTGACAGAGACAGTTTACGAAGACACATAGTTTGATTGTTAAGGAAAATAATGGAAAAAGACACTAAATAAGTTAGAATGTGGTTTTTCGTGTTGGACATCCGGACATTTTCTCTGTCAAGATCAAGACTTGAGGCCAAAGAGCTTGTGCATGCTTCCTTATGCGACACCATAATGAACCCAAATCTGATTTAGAGAGAAGAATCCGCTTTATTTTATTTCTGCATGGCGCCTTCTTTATCTACAATGCAACTTAACCATCTGTAGTGTTGTGTTGCTCGAGTTGTAACTAACGCCTCAAGCAAAGATTAAGAGTGAGCCACACAAACACACACACACACACTAAAGTTTGCACAGCCATCCTTATTAGGACCTTGGATTGACTTCCATCCGTGGACAGCAAAACCAAAACCTTATCCCTAACCTTAACTATGACCAATTCATGCCTGAAGGGTTGACCATACTTTCTGTTTTCCGTGCCTGTGGAGAGTTGTCCACTTGTTCCAGTCACATTATACTTAAATGCGGGTCAACCTCGGTCAGGTGTTCCAGGAATGGGTACGTGATCTCACATCCCATTCCATATATTGTACCTGGAGCATTCACAGTCGATGCATACAGTTAACGCAAATTTTGGGCTACACGTGGATGTCGGCATAAGGGTTCGTTTGACGACATTTACATCATGATGATCATAGCGCACTGGCAGACGTGGAAACTATGATTTTGCCTTAACCGTAATGTTAACCAAACCACCATTCACATCTTACCACTAACCTTAACCAGGACCTCTCATTAGGACCAGGCTTTGGTCCCCATGAGATCCACTGGTCCTCACAAGGTCAGTGTTTACACTGGAAAAGGTCGAGGAGAAGTAACCAAAACACTATGCACTCACACACACAGACGTTACATATAGATACAGAAACACATACATAATCTACAAATCCTGAACCAACATGCAGCCACCTGCACCTTCCAGCCACCTGCGACCAGCATACCAGAGGAAAAATGGCCAAATAATTGGCCCCAGGCGTCTGATCAACTTTTCTGCTTTCACCTGGAACTCTGTGGCCACTGCTGTCAGAGAGATTATCCACCAGCTGGCAGTCCGCTGACTTTGTTAGATAAGGCTTAGTCACAATGAGACCGTGTCCAAAACAGAGCCGGAGAAATAATAATGTAATGTGATGTGTGTATCTCAGAGCAGATTAGCTAGGCCTCAGCACAGATCACGACAGCTTAACACAAATAACTTTTCCCAAAGACTTTAAAATAATCTTTTAAAATAATCTTTACCCTGGGGATTAAAGTTTTTGATGAAGAGTTATTGTGGTGTTACAATGCATTGATTAGCTTGGAGACACAAACTGGTTGCTTTCATTTTAACTTTAAACATGCATCAAAACCATACATCCAAAATCATTACAAGCACTAACGACAGAGCATATGATTTTTAGATTAGTTAAAAGGCTCATTAAAGAGAAGGTAAAGATTAAAGATTTTACTAGAATGCCATACAATAGAGCAAATGCCTCCAACGGAGCCCAACAGTCCCCTTACACACAACCAAACTACACACCATCATAATGTTAAAAAATGCCATGTTAATGAAAGAGGGAAAAATCCTGGATCCCCACCAAACTCGCAGCATCCTTCCACCAAGTTTCATATTAACCCTACCAGTGGTTTTCACAGAACCTTGCTTCCAAACAAGCATAACAACCAACAAACAAAGGGACAGGGGTGAAAACCTCCTTGGCGGAGGTAAACATTATACAGCAGGCATGGAGAGTCTTTTATACAATGTGACATCTGTAGCCCGGAGAGGAAAAAAGGGCAGATCAACGTCGAGATAGAAACTACCTCATGACACACTGTGACATGCATATGGGAACGCTTCAACCGGAGAGGGTGTGCAAGTGTAAATATGCATGTGAAAGCAGGTTTCCAACATACTGTGTGTGTGTGTGTGTGTGTGTGTGCAAATGAAGCTGTTCAGTTTTGTTAGGTCTGTATGGCTGTGCGTCACTGCAGCACAATGAATTATACACACACTCCTGAGCAGCAGCAGCCCTTTACTTGAATGTCTTTCACATCCCCTCAGTATGGTGGAGAATCTATTTCCCCATGCAGTAGCACTTCAGACCCCGCTCTGATTGATTGTCTGTTAAACTGCTGCTGTCTGAGAGACAGTCTGCCAGGAAGTCGTAGTCATACGATGTGACTGGGCCCACAGCATACAGAGAGGCAGCAACCCCCTGCACTATACAACACAGGAAGAAGAATCAAGCAAATTAGAAGGGATGTGTAATTTGAAAGAAAGCTTGGCACAACTCTCGGCACAACTCTCAACCTGAATACAGTAAACACTTCCATTTGGAAATGGCAGGCCTGGCAGTCGAGATCTCGAACATGCACACGTCTCACCATCACACACACACACACATGCATGCATGCTGGACAAAGTTATCAGCTAATAGAGCAATGAAGCGAGATGCATGAGTAAATATGCACACCACCACAGTCTGAAATAGCAGGAAATTAAAGGAGAGGAGGTGGGAGAAGGACTGGGGGGTGATGTGAATAATCTTGAGAAAACTAGAGCAGCAATGATTAGTTGATTGAACGGAAATTAAACTCCATTTTAAACAGCAACAACGATTGACTGTGATCTTTCAAACAAAACGATTTGACGGTTTCATGCTCTCCAATGAGACAATAGTCAAAGTATCTTAGTTATATATTGTAGTCAATAGAATAAAACTAGAAAGGCACATTCCTCCACCAATAAGGCCCCAACAGTCCCCTGATGAAAGTTTAAATTCAATAGATCCACATGTTTATTTGTATCTGCACCAAACTGCACACACACATGAAAACCATTCCCCTGAACATGCCTGTTTTCTTCTTCAAGATTCATGAATTAGTCTCTAAAGGAATCAAGGAAAGTGCCCGGATCACAAACCAGATCCGCACCTAAATTTAACGAGTTCTTCCCTGACTCATACCACATCCTTCCACCAGCTTTCATGCTAATCCGTCCAGTAGTTTCTGCACAATAACGCTAAATAACTGACAGACACATGAACGCAGATGGAAACATCCTCCTCGGCAAGGTAATTATGTATAAATGACTAAAAGTCATTTGTTTATTTAGTCCCAGTTTAGATCAATGTAGCTGGATTATCTTTAAACAGCAGGCTATTTGATAATGTAATTGTTGCTTTTCATACATTTGATTGATTATTTACCTAAACTTAAATCTGGTTACAAGCTCACAAAGCGATGTTCATCTGAAAATAAAAAATGCAAGAAAATAATTAAAATAATTAAATTGATTAATTAATTGAGAAAGTAATGGACAGGTTGTTTTATTATGAAAATATTAATTGCAGCTCTAAGGAAAGCACCTTTAAGCGACAAAGATGGTGCTCTAAAGCGAGTTCCTCATCAGCAGGGAGTGTTGTGGACACTGAGTGATTATGTAAAGTAGAAGACAGAGCAGGTGTGACATCATTGACAGTGAAACCAGATATTAGTGCTCCAAACCACAGTGCACACACACGTCTGGGAACAGACCACACAGGGAGCTGAGTGGGTTCAGACCATCACACAGTCAGGTCGTATGAGCTGAAGTCCATCTGCCAACAAGACCCAACCCCTGTCTCCATGATTCTGTTGGCTTAGGGTGTGTGTGTGTGTGTGTGTGTGTGTGTGTGTGTCCGTGTGTGCGTGTGTGACCACAACTTACTCATGTTGTGGGGACCTAAATCTGTTCACATGGTCACATTATATGGACTTGTCTTCCTAATGGGGACCATACTAACCAGAACTGCTCAAAAGGAAAGGATGAGTTTAGGTTAGGATTTAGGTTAAGTTTAGGTTTAGGCAAGTACTAACTATTTTTAAGGAGTAAGTCCTCAGGGAATCAATGCAAGTCAGTCTAATGCCCTCTGAAGTCGTGTGTGTGTGTGTACGCGTGTGATACAGGTGAACAGCGGTACCTCAGACTGCAGCAGGTGATATGATCCCTCAGTCTGCTTTAAGCTATTTTTAGGAGCAGGGGGTGAATTAAAACGTGCATATTCTGTGCGCCCCCTGTCTGGCGCATGATTGGACAGCACTGAGGCACTGGGGGGTGCAGTTGCTGCCCAATCAACATCTGATTTTGGCAATAAAAGGCTGATTGACAGCGTCCCGACACGAAAGCAGCATTATCAACACTGCAGAGTCAGGTGCAGACGACACGTATCCGTGCGTAACGCGTCCCCCCACGGTCTGAACGGGCATGTAACCGCGCGGTGTGGAGATTTTGAAAATGATAATACGAACAAAGGGCATCAGGGTTGGTTTGGACACAGAGGAGGGAATGAACAGCTGGTTCTATGACAAATCCTACTTTGGATACACTATTTGTTTGGGGGCATCCCTCTGCTCCTTATGCGCACTGGATAAATCACCAACACAAGGTGACAGATCACCAAAATAATCCTAATCCCGTTCTCTCCTCCTCATTCGAAGTGCCACTTCCCTGCAGGAGAGAGCAGTTTCTCTGGGATAGCCTGGCCATTTTTCATCGCCCCTCATGTCCCAGACAAAAAAGAAGAGGACCTACCTGGTAATCTCGAAGCTGCAACCTTTCCGAAGGAGCAAGGCTCTCTTCCGCATGATGCCTTTGTCTCTGCCGAGGTACACATTTTTATCTGAATTCATGGGTGCTGAGCGAGCAGGTAGACCCGGGGCAAACAGCACCGCTGCCTTTCCAGGGAAAAACAAAAAGTCAGGGGGACTGCGAGAGGCGGAAGAAAAGAAGAGGAGGAGAAACAAAAATCCCTTTTACGCTCGACTCACCTCCGCGGAGAATAAATAAAGTGATCCTGCAGACTTTTCCCCTCTCTCGCACCGCTCAGGCTAAACAAAATACGGCGTGTGTGAGCGTTCAGAGGTGCATGTTGTCGAGGCTGCTGGTGCTGCTTGTGCGTCCATGGAGCAGCGACGGACTGAAGCACTTGGAGTCAACCTGAGCGGTCGTGCCGAGGACTCTCTACCGCCCCGGAGAGCCTGTGATCCTGAAGTGTGGAGCCGCACAGCCGCGCTCCTCTTGCTCCAGCTCCACACTGAGAGAGAGAGAGAGAGAGAGAGAGGGGCTGCACAGTGCACTGCACAGCAATGACTTCATGAGAGAGAAAGAGAAGTGGTGGTGAGGCTACTTCCATACTGTGTGTGTGTGTGTGTTTGTGTGTGCACTCACTATGGACTGATGGTAATTTGGCCTGTCCTCACCTTCTAACCCACTTTCAATGGGCTATTTGAGGGTCAAGACTTGCCATTAGGGTTAGTATTAGAATTATTTATGGACTATGGTGAAATAAATAAGGTAGGAATTTGGTAATTTAGTTGTGATGGTCAGGGTAAGGTGCAATGGAATGCATTATGCCGGAGACCTGATGGTGAGGACATGGTTAAGGTTAGGGATAAGGTTTTGGTTAGACTGTCCACAACGATGTCTATGCAGTGTCCTCACACAGACAACAGCCTCTATGAACTTGAGAAAACTTAAAACCTGACACACAGAAGAGAGAGGAGAGAGAACATATCTGCTTTAATGTGGTGACTCTGGGTTGAAAGATTTTTTTTAGACTTTTGAATCATGGTTTCTCATCCTTTGAAGTAAACTAAAGTATTTGAAGTGTTTTTAGAAATATCCATAAATGTAGGGATGGTAATACAGGTATTGGTTATGACGTATGTACTGTAAGACATGGTATAAAGAAAATATCAAAATTAAATTATATAAAATGTTAAGAAATACAAATACATATAAATCACATATTGATTCAATGACTGTTGCTCTTTGTAGAGTTTTCATCAGTCCTTATACTGGTCAAAGAGCTCTCAAAGGATGGGCCCATCTTTCAATCTGTTGACTCAATAGACTCATAAGATGTGGTCTCCACCGTTTTATTGATCCAGTCTTTCAGGTCAGGAGATGCAGCAGTTTTCCAATGTCTCAAGATCATCCTGGGGGTTGTAACCAGTCCCACCATAATAACAGAAAATGTTCCTTTTGATACATTTGCTATATGAGATCTATTCCCTTGTAGGGGGGTTGTTGCTACTCAGGAAGTCCAACAGTATTTGTAGAACCGGACAGTGAGACATGCTAGTCTGAGCTTTGAAGCAACAGCAGAACAGGTTTTTATCTTCTCTTTCCATCACATTCATTCCTGCCATGTATTCAAACACATGGAATAAGTCCAGCTCACTTCAGGCTGGATGCATCAGCCACTCATTTTAGACTGAAGTGGCAAATGTCCACAACTACCAAATTACCACACAGAGTTCTAGTGTTAAAAAAACCCCAAAAAGCACAAATATTTGTCTTTATCAATCTTTCTTTCTTTTCCCTGGATTCTGAGTCAAATCTGCCACTGTTGTTCATGATCTCTCTTGGAAGGACAAACCGTCGGGCCAGAGATGATTCCTGCCAAATTTACTCCCTGCTGGTTTTAGTTTGTCTCATGTAGCATCACAGTGGTCCTCTCATATTTTATTTTACAAAGGCTGTAGTTGTGTACAGAGCGGAATGTCTTGGCAAGGCTCCTAAAAACATAAACACATAGATCATCTGAAATATATCAAACATTTGTAAAAATATGTTCTAAAAATACTTCACTGTATTTCTAAGTGACCCTGAAAAACATCGAACATTAAATTGTTCAGTATTGTATCAGAGTTAAAGTTGAGCAATTCACAAAAACCAACATTTATAACCTCTCACCGACTTTTGGTTGGTTAGGATGCAAAAAATGTTTTCCTGATTTAGCGTCATCTTTTGGTGAGGATGCATACTGCAACAAACTCCAAAAACAAATTCCAAAATCCTCCCACAATGATAGACTGTATATAAAGATGGACAACAGGATGGCTCCCGAAAAGTGAAGCCAAAGTATCTTGATCACCACCTGGCTGACAGACAAAAATTCTTCAGTTCAAGTGCTCATTTTTCAAGCTTGGTTTTGTTTAACTTGATACTGAGGCTCCATTTCCCGATTACACAGACTCCAGGGTATTCTTCTCTGGATAGTTCACAGTGATCTCTATGCAAAGTCTATGTTTCCAAGCAGAACCTTTGGTATTCTTCAGAGCTAACGTGCATTGTTTCTAAATGTAACAGTTTCTATGCTGATTAGCAAATACTTATGGTCGTTGTCTGTAGGTTGTTCGTAGTATGTTTCACCTTTTCCATCCAATAGAAGGAAGTAGAAGTAAACTGATTACTCCCACATATGTACACACACACACACACACACACACACACACACACTCACAGTCTAGTATATCAGCCCACTGTTTAGATGAGGAATTCTCTCAACATGACTCACAGCTGTATCCAAAGACTTGACCTTGTTTGTGTGAACAGGATGAACTTCAGTTTTGTTGCTCAAACGCTCAGATGCTCTGTGATTCAACAGCACTGCCGCTTACCACATCGCCTTGTGGTTAGAGACGCCTTTAAATAGCTGCCCTCTCTTGAACACCACTAATCAGTATCATTGTATTGTGGCAGTATACAGTGCAACCGACTGGGGTTTGTTTCGGAGAAATTCTGCGAAATTCAGACTTTCAGAGCCTGTAATTAAAAAGTACAGATATTGTACTTACCACTAATACAGAGAAATACATGTTTTGTACATGAATTCCTATTATTTTTGAATATCTGTTGGACTCAGGAAAATGCAAGCACACTCAAGGTTAATTCCTGGGTGAGGTCATTTAAAGCGTGTAATGGTCTTTTCTGTATTTACTGAACAAGGATGGAGGACAGTGTAAGGCCTTGTAAGTCTGACCTCCAGCAGGACTTAATGAAAACGTTAGTCCAAACTTACTGGGGCTTTTTGAAAACCCTGTGTTGCCCTGGGCTGTGATGAGAAGGAATAAAAAAAAGGTCACTGAATTATTTTATAATTGCTGTTAGGCTGCAGCGTTCAGGTGTGCATGGACTGCTGTGTGTTATGTAGGCTCACAAAACAATTGAAGATGGCGTCAACAACATTTGATTTTCTTATTTCCTCCACCAGTTTGTTTGTCTGTTAGCAGGATTACACAAAAACTGCTGGACTCATGTTCTTCAAACTGGGTGGAATAGTAGAGTGTGGGCCAAGAAAGAACATGTTGATGCAGATTCGATGAAAGGAGTGGATCCAGGAATTATTTTTCATTTTAACATGGTGGGACAGGCTTTTCAATAGAAAAAAAATGAAAGAAAATGTAAAACGTATAATAAAATATGGTGATAGAGTGGCAGAGGTATGCGCTGAGTGCCCTTGTATCAATTTTATAAATTATTTATAATGTCCCAAGATACAAGCTATAAACACAACAAATAATCAAATGTAAAGTTGATGCAGTGAATGTTTTAGCAACTATTTACAGCAGACACACTCCTGTTTCTGTCAAAAACACTGTTGTTCTTTTAGCTCGGTTTTCCTCTCCACCAGCTCTTGAAGAATAAGTGCACCACTGACATCATTTGTGCAAATTCAGTTCATTAATTACTGTACAAACAAAGAACCAGGACAAGTGACAAGTGAGCGAATGCAACATCCATGATGTTTTGGAGAAGTCCAGCTCATGAGTTTAGAGTTGAAGAGTTAAGTGTTGGTTTAGGAGTTCTGAGAGAGACTTCAGTGAGTACTGAGCAACAAAGCACTTTGATAGCGCAGCGTTGTGGCTCTCAGTTTTACACAGGGATGGTAGAGTACCCGTCACCTTGATCAGCACAGTAATGGCCAGCTGTCATTTTGAACATGCATGTGCCGTGGGGGAGCATGGCTCATGAACTGTAGCCGGCCCCCTGCTCCGATCATGGCTCAGTCTTAAGAACCAGATTGACCGGTGACCTCTAGATGTATATTTATAAGGTCGTCTCATCCCAATAGGAGCCGAGTGTAATTCTGTGTGAAGCCTCCATCAGGAAGTGGCGAGGCTCGAGGTGAGAAGAGGACGAGATGCAGCACACACACACACACTTGAGAAATAAGAAATCCATTTGCAAGGGATACTTATGTGATGGAGTGAGGGATGGACAGGGGAGGGTGAAATCTTTAGGACGAGGAGGTAAATGAAGCAGAAGTAAGATTAAATGTAAAGATATGTATTTATTTGAAACCTAATTAGTTAACATTTAAGTTTTCTGAAGGGTTATAAATTAATAAGCTGTTGATGTCACGTTGGTACGATCAGTGTCCTTGGGTAAGATACTGAGCACAAACCTGCCCCTGACGGCTGTGCCAGCAGTGTGTGATAGAAGTGTAGCAAGTAGTAGCAAGAGTTTTGAGGTTTCATTCACAACAGAGAAGTGCTATAAGACAAGATCTTTATATCACGGTCATATCCCCTGAACGCTCCTGCTCACAACTCTGGCAGCATTCATACCCAGGATATTTTAGGTTCATTTTGGGATAGTGGAAGTAGAGGCATGTCATCCATCTTCAGAAACAGTCTATGGTCTGAAAAATTAGGGAAAACAATGAGGTTGTGTTACACTGCCAGCCTGACATGAGGTCAGTTTGTGGAATCATAAGAAATAAATCTCCATGTGACAGCTAACCTGCAGCTGGATAGTGTCAGTAAAGGAGAGAGGAAACCTGGTAGCCTCCTCTTCATCTCTTCACCAGCGGCCTGTAATGAACTGATTCATGTCCGTCTTGCTGACCTGAGCAATAAACGCAGAATAATAATAGAGCAGGGCCACAGCAAGTTGCCAAAACTCAGCTGAGGTGAGTCTATTAATGACATTATGAGGTTTGTTTTTGCATTATGCCAGCATTCCAAATCTAAGAATTTTTTTTTTACTTTGTAAATCTGTAAAAATTCAGCTTGGTGACGTTCAGCAAATGATGCCAAAGGTGATACATCTCTCTGGGTCGTGGGGTTTTTCTCGGGGGTGTGAAGGGAGCATTGGCGGCTGGCAACAAGGGCACAAGTGTCAGCAAGCTGTCCTCCCCTGAGGAGGCTCAATGCAGCGTGTAGAAGAGCCAAATGCCACTGCAGCGACCGCACTTTCAACAGCAGGACACAGAGAGGGGCTTTAATTTAACACAGAGTCATACTGAAAACGTTTCATCGCTCTCTGAGGTTTAAGTAGTGGTTTCCAGTG